GGCGGGGGACTTGCGGCTCATGCTGAAGCTGGGTGTGAGCCGTGCTCCCCCAGCACGACTTCTCCCCGAGGCGTCATTCACTGGGCGCTGCCATGCAGGGACAGAGCAGACGGTGAAGCTGGGCAGCCTGGAGTAGGACCCCAGCGCGCGTCGGGGCTCAGAGGGCCTTTCCTCCTTGGGCACAGCGGGTCCGCAGCAGGGCAGTGGGGCACTCACGGCCATCATGTCTGGCTCACTTCGTAAGCGAGGAGCTGAGGGTCGCCTCCCGGCCCTCTGCCGTGCTGGGCCTGATGGCTGAGCCGGGCGTGGGCCGTGGTCTCTCTCGGCACCGTTGGGGAGATGTGCCTGGGCTGACTGCGCTGTCCAGGCTGGTCGGGGACGGTGTGGTCCCGAGGCTGCGGGTGGGTCCAGGGGTGACTTCGGCATCACCGGAGCCTCGGGTTCCACAGGTGTGCGGCTAACGCTGCGTGGTGGGCGTGCCTGTGCGTCTCCGACGTGCGTCTCCCGGTGTGGGGCAGAGGGAACCTGCGCTGACGGGTCCTTGCTTTGACTCTTTCCAGGACAAAGAAACGAGGAGCGGGACGTGCGGCTACTGTGGACTGCAGTTCAGGCAGCACCGGCACTAGGGTCGCACCGTCGCCTGTTCCTGGAGCTGAATAAAGCTGCTGTGCCAGAGGAGGGCTTGTGGTGTCTTCCTGGGACCCTTGGAGGGGACTGCCATGCAGCTGCAGCGCTCTGCCTCGCCCTGCGCTTCCCCTCTGCACCCAGCGCCCCTTGCCCTGCAACCCCCACCCTGTGCTTCCCCTCTGTGCCCTGCAGCCCCCACACCCCCTGCCCTGCAACTCCCACCCTGTGCTTCCCCTCTGCCCTGCAGCCCCCATACCCCCTGCCCTGCAACCACCACCTGTGCTTCCCCTCTCTGCCCTGCAGCCCCCACACCCCCTGCCCCGCAACGCCCGTCCTGTGCTTCCCCTCTGTGCCCTGCAGCCCCTGCACCCCCTGTCCCACAACTCCCACCCTGTGCTTCCCCTCTGTGCCCTGTAGCCTCCACACCCCCTGTCCCGCGACCCCCATCCTGTGCTTCCCCTCTGTGTCCTGCAGCCCCCGTACCTCCTGCCCTGTGACCCCCGTCCTGTGCTTCCCCTCTGTGCCCCCCACACACCTGAGCTGCACCCTCAATGCCAAGCCTCCAGGGGGTCCTCTGACTTTGCGGACATAGCTATGGCCCAGGGAGCTCGGCTGGTTGGCGGTCACAGCGAGGACAGGGCCTGAACTCTAGGGTGTCTGCCCCTCCACCTCCTGTCCCCCGACCTGATTTGGGGACAGGAACATCGTGTCTGAAACCTCAGCATCGGAGCATCCGGGGGGTTCCTGGGGTCACACTCGGCAGGTGAAGGGCAGCTGTGTGCCCGGGAGTGTGGTGGGAGGCAGCGAGCCGGGAGATAAGCCGAAGGCATGGCCGGAGTCCAGCAGGAGGGGCTGGCGGGCTCGGTTCTGGCACAGACCATGAGGAGTGCCTCCTGGGCTGCGAGGCCTGCAGGCGGCGGGCACAGCGGGTCCCCAGCAGGGCAGTGGGGCACTCACGACCATCACGTCTGGCTCACTTGGTAGGCGAAGAGCTGAGGGGCGCCTCCTGTGCCATGGGCGTATGCTGCTCAGAAGCTGTCAGGCCACCCTCTGGAGCAGTGTCGCTCTATCCACGCAGTGTCACGTCTGCGCCAGACGCAGCACAGGGGGCCCAGGTCCGGCGGATCGCTCCGATGTGTTCCGGTCCCACCAGGCACACGTGGCACTGGTCCGTGGGCAACGCGTGTGCCAGCTTGACAGCGCAGGCCGTGACAGCTGCCTGTGGGACGGGCAGGCAGAGGGTTCCCACCTGGATCGCCGGGCGAGCTGGAGCAGTCACCTCCCAGGAGCCCACCCAGGGAAGAGCGCCGTTGGGGCAGCCCTCTCAGCTGGGCGGAGACCGCGGTACTGCAGGAGCCCAGGGCGGCACCACTTCCCTGGGCAGTACTGGAAGCTGAGACTCGGGTGTCAGGAACCCCGGGCCTGGCCAGGTTCCGCTCCCCCGTCCTGAGAGAGGCTCCCTGTGGACGTGGGAGGACCCAGAGGTCAGCCCCCCGGATTCTGGCCAGGGCCCTCCGAGGGAAGGGGAGGCTTGGTGGGCACGGGTGCTGGGTTTCCAGTGCACAGCAGGTGTGTGGGGGCCTCTGAGGAGAGGGGGGGTGCAGTAGCTCAGATGCGGGTGAAGGGTAGACACAGCGGGGCGGGGCTCGGCGGCTGCAGAGGTGCTGTGTGCCGCAAGGAATCCCGGCGAGGCTCTACCCAGGCCTGCGTGTTGTCTGGGGCTGTGCAAGTGAGGGCCGGGCGAGGGCACCGCCTCCAGGACCGGGGCAGGCCAGCCCTGAGCAGGACCCCAGGACCCTGATCTCAGGTGGTGGGCCCACAGGGTGCCGGCGGGTTTGACTAGATGGCTCGTCTCCACCAGGGAGCTGAGTCGGGACCAGGGCTTTTCCCTCTGAACGCGCTGGTACGTGACGTGATTGTGGTCCCTGCTCCAGAGGGGCCCTGTGTGCGGCTGGTCCCTCTCCATGTTTCGAACGTGCTTTGGACTTTGGGGGCACCCGAGCTGGTCCACGAGGCTTCTTGGAATTCCTTTCAGTGCTCTCAGGTCTGTGAGGGCCGGGGCCCCCTGCAGGGCCGGCTCCCCGCTGCCCCGGTGCCCCCTTTGCTTTCCTTTAAGGCCATGCTATTAGTGTCCCCCAGTGCTCCCTGTAGTGTCGCTTTTGGCCTCAGACCGTAGGGACTACGCGCTGCAGGAGGTGGGGAGGAAGCGCCCCCGGCAGGACTCGGGCCACCTTGAGCACAGTCTCTGTACCCCTAGCCTGGGTGGGACCAGCGCACACCACAGCGGCAAGCAGGCTGCGGTCTGGGTGGTGGTCTTCGCCGTGCCTGGCCCCTGTGACATGAGCCCCGGAGAGGTGGTGTGCGTGCCCACATAGGACAGAGCTCAGAGAAGGGCCCAGCACCGTGTCCAGCGCAGCAGTTTCGGCTGCGTCCACATGCGCACGCCCATGCCCACGCCCACCCCGCCCGGAGCTCATCCCACAAGGCGCTCCCTGGCCGCAGTCGCCATGTGGGAGGGCCAGGGCTGGAGCTGGTGCTGCAGGGATTCCCATGTCTCCCCTGTGCCCGGAGGGGAGGTGGGACTTGTGGCCTGGAGCGGGGACAGCAGTGACAGCCGGGTCCCCCCACAGCCATCTGTGCTGTGGCTGAGGCAGCCTGTCCCAGAGGACATGCTGGGTGGGCACAGTGCGCAGTTAGCGGACTGCCCGGCTCAAGCACACCTGGTTTCCAGGCATAGGAAACTCGCAGACCCGGAGCCCAGGAGACGGGAGACTGGGCACCTGGAGGAAGCCCCAGGAGCCACAAGGTCTGTGAACGAGCCTTCCCCAGCACCCTTGGCTGCTAGCGGGAGTGACCGGGACCTGGGAGGGCCGTCTTTGCCGGACTCCTGGGCTGCCTGCCTCCGCCCCGTCGCTGCGCCCCGTTGCTCCCTGGGGCTCTGGGTGGCCACTCCGGCCCATGGGCTGCCCTCCCAGCTTGCCTTGCCTTAGCCCTTTCGGGCGTGTCCTCCGACATATCTAGGCCGTTTACAGAGTGTCGTTGGCGAGCTCTTGCTTTTAGAATCGTGGGTTCCTTGGACAACAATTAGCGTTCCCTTTTGTTTGCCCGTAGTGTTTGTTTTAATACCGATCCCTGGGCTGACAGAAGTGTCCATTCACGTGGCGACATGCCGGCTCTGCCTGCTCTGCGCCAGCATCGGGGTGCAGGGCTGCGGGCGTCCTGTGGCCCAGCGGCCCTCTGGCTGGCTGTGGGCTTGGGTGCTCCCTCGCAGCCTGCAGTGGTGGCCACAGCCCCCCGTGGCACCTGGAGGAGGCATCTCCCACCTTACCCCTCCCTGGCTCTCGGCCACAGAGGACAGCCTGCCGGACCCTCCGGGCGGGCCC